CCAGTTCCATCTGAATTCACCAGCCACAGGTGCTGTGAAACAGCCCTTAGCATTGACTTGAAGACAAATTAAAACCTTGGCATTCTGGCTTCTTGGACAGATTCACCAGACGTTGGATGTTGCTGTATGAGCAAAATACATTTAATTTTCGACGTTTATTAATATTCATTCCTGGGAATGAAAAAGAGATCTTAAAAAGGGCATCCGTCATCCCGCTACTAATATCCGTCTTTGGGCACTACCTGCAGTTCAGTGCTATTTGTACCCATCTGTTATGCCTTCTGCTAATAAATGTTCTGCATCTGCAATAGTGGATGACTCCCTAGGCTTGGCTGTGACATGATTTGTTGATAGCAAGATACAGGGGATTTTGGTTTTGCCTCTACCCTATCCCATGCTTGATTAATACTGGTTTATGTAATGCATGTTCTTAGCTCCTTAATTTTCTCTCCCAGTTGTAGGCAAGTCTGGATTTAAACGTTTTGCAAAAGCATCTTCACTAGAGAAGTGAATATTTAGTACTAACACATAAAGCAGATAGATAGATTTCCCTGTTTTTAATACTTCAGTAAGGCCCCTGCTGTACCAGTACTGTAAAGCCTGAACAGGAGGCAGTACAACTTTAGAGGTTGTTTCTGGAGAAAATGTGCATGGCCAGTAGCTCTGAAGATGTTCAGCAGATGTCATCAGGGCAGTTTCTTCAGAGAACCAGCATGTCCTTCCCCTGCATCCATTAGCATCTCCTGGCAGTGTGTAAGGACATTTACCTTTGTTCTCACTTCAACTGCTCAAGAGGATCCTAACAACAAGAGTTGCTTCCCTCCAGAGAGGATGAGGACTATAGTGCCTTGTAGTTCCTTGCAGGTGGGTGGAACAAGCGGAGAAAGCTCACTGTCATGAGTCTCACACAAAAACTGCCTTGTGCTTAGACATAGAAGTTTGCCCTGAATTTCAGTCTTCTGTAGCTTGGATGGGCTTTTGCTTGTGCCTAATCAATCTACTGCAGGTATATCCACAACCTACTGTTTGAAGAACTAAAAAAGATATTAAGAAGCTGATATTGCTGCATTAGCAAGTGTCACCATTACTGGCTTTTTAAATTGTGGGATGAGTTATTTTTATGCAATGGAAGCTCAAAAATAAGTGGCTTGATCTCTTCAGTTGTAGCCTCATAGGCTATGTCAGCCTCTAAGGAGCCCTGGGAGAGGCTTTCACACCAGTTTGCTGTGCTAATGTTGGCCTGCAGCAGAACAAGCAATGGAGGTGCATGCCCTTCTAGGCTGTTACTTGAGCTGAATTTCTCTTACATTTCTTTCTGCCTGCAGATGATCAGGTAGCTTGGAAAACTCTCTCTTCTGGGCTTTTGTGGTTTCTAGTTTTGTGTGCTGTTTTGAAGTTGCCAATAGTTTTTCAGCTGTAACTAATGAATTGCTCTGCAAGGTAGGTAGATCTGACAGCCTCTTTTCACCAAGGAGGCAGCGAGAGGTTTGACTTGGTGAGGTCTGCACATTTGAAGAGCTGCACGGTTACACATATACCAAATAGTCCCAAGTTTTAGTCCACCTCACCAAAGCACTATCCTTACATCTTGAAGGGGATTTTCTTCTATGCTAACTGATTAAAAAAAAAAGCATGCAATAGTTTTTATAAGATTAGAATACATTTGTATAAGGTATTTACCAAGCAATTCTTAAAAAACTCTTTAGAATCTAGAGAAAATTACTTTCTCCATCTTTTTTTGGTTTTATTATTATTATGCACATGTGGCTTCTTCATAGCCTTTGGAATGAAAGATGCATCCTCCGCTCTCTGTCAAACCTGGTGTCAGAAGACTTTTTGTTAAGGAACATGACTTTTCATAGCTCAGTTGGTATCATTAGACAAATGATGTTTTGACTTTGGTTTCCCATACCACTCTTTGTATTGTATATAGCATATTATAGCTGGATATTAATCATATAATAAAGCCTTGATGCACACAAAAAAGGCAAATTAATTTTACCAGCTTGCACCATGTCCCTAGTGTAAGGGGAAGAGATATTAGCCATGCTGTAGTCATCCTTGGAAGATGTCAAATAATTGACAACCCTTACTCTAGTGTAGAGAGACTGGATATGTGTGTAATTAAATCCATCACAAACACCACTCAAAATATAATTTATTTTGTGCAAAGGATGTCTTCTTGTGTTACACACTTGCCAAGGCTAAGAGAATAAAAATATACACAGAGATTATAGGCCTGTCATTTCAGACACAGAAGGAATTTGTGGATATTAAAGCAAAGGTTTTGAAAGAAACTTCTCTACATCTACAAGAGGAGACAGCAGTGCAGCATTGCTTTTAGTTGTTTGAGGTGTAGGTTAGATTTCTGGTCAGAAGGCAACATCATACTCTGTGTCCAGATACCTCTTTCTCAGAGTAACAAAACTATGTTTACAAAACAAGATGACATTTATAAAAGGATCTAAAGTTTAATCCCCAAAGGTGCTCTGGATGAGCGGGTCCGCTCCCAGCAGCCTTATTGGGATGTTCACAGGGGTCTGATCATACAGAGCCACTTCCAGGCTGGGAATCTAATTTCTCAGCTGCTCTTCATCTTGTCTGTGACATCTGTGGAGAAGTTTATCAGTTTTTCTGTGGAGAGAGACATATTTATTTTACTTGTCTGGGTAGCAACAAAAGTATATAATACAAGGTGTTGTAGCAGCAGGCAGGCAATGATATCTCACCCTCAGGGTTACTCATCAAATGGGGAAAGATGTCATGTAGCTGGCCTCTGCTTCAGCTTTGCTCTGCACACCGGACTCCATTATGTTTCTCTTGGCAGAGTAAGACCTCAGAGTTTACTTCAGCAAGTTCATGATTATTTCTGCAGCAAAGAGAGTCACAAGAAGCACCATTTCATAAGCAGGGAGAGTTTGTGAATATCAAAAGTGGAGTCAACATTGTTAAATTTGATTATCTGCAGTTACACCCTAAACAGATAAGCTGAGATGCCCAAAGAGTTTCCCAATCAGGATAGTTACGTGAGAGCCAGTGAATCATTGATTTAATGTCTTACACAAAATTTCAGGGTATTCAGTGAACTCTTAGGCTGATGATGAAAGTGCCAGCTTCCACAAAGCAAAATATCTGTGTTAGCTACAGACATCTTAGTATAGGGAGTAAGAGTTGCGCTAAAAAGGGCTAACAAACAAGCTTGACGATATATTTTGCTATTGTAGCTGCTAATATTAGAAATGATCTTGCAAACAGCATGTTTCCAGCAACATGCAGAATACCTGTTTTATTTACAACTCCACAAAAAGAATTGTGGAAAATTGGAAATGGTTCTAGGAAGGAACCAGAGCCCTGAACAGCCTGCCCTAATGAGACTTCAGAAGCTCTCAATTGATTTACTTTATCAAAGAGAAACTGAAGAAGTGATTTGATCAGTGCCTGCACGGGTCAAGATTTCAAATGCTCAGAGGGCTCTTTAATCTAACAGAAGGTATAATAAGATTCAGTGCCTGCAAGTAGAAGCTAAGCAAAATCAAATTGCAATTAAGAACTGTTTAGACAGCAGGGGTAATTAACCGTTGCCACAACTTTTGGGGTCAGAATGGAATCACCATCTCTTGAAATGTTTTAATTTGGATTATTTGTTGGAACTGTATTCCATCTTTGCTATGCAATAAAATATGGTGGTATGTGTTCCTATAAACAAAATGAGGACATATGACTAGAAGTAAGATGTGTATGTGAAATATAATCCAGAAAAACCTGATGCACGATTCTGTATGTTTAGTATTATCTGAATATTAGAGCGAATTATTTCAAGCATCTTTCAAAAAAAATCTATTTTCTTGATTTTCTATTCTCACTGAACTCATAAAAGGCGCACATGCTTTAGAAGCACTGCCGAAACTTTAGTGAAACTCTTGGCCAATTTGTCCTACAAACTCATCCTCATTTGCAAGGGAATGGGGGCATGTTTGTGAGTGGGACACAGAGAGAAGGGACTATGGAAAATTGCTGTGATTGCCTTTAGTGCAACAATTAAAGCAGAAGTCTGTCTTTCCTAAGGGGCTGGTGTATTTTGTTGTCTTTTCCAGTAATATCAGTGCCCAAAGGAATGAGATGTGGCTTATAGCTGCAACCTGCAGGGAAAGCAAAGCCTGTTTGCAACACCTCCAAAGATTCTTTTGGTTGATTGTCCTAGTGAGAGATCAGTTTGCTGCTACCTCCCCTCCTACCTGCATTTTGAATTCCTTACAAAATTGCTGTAAACAGCACATCTTGAGAGAAGGTGTCGTGCCTTGCATGAGCGCCTCATTAACCATGCTTAGCTTCAGGCTCATGGTGTGATTAGATGGAGGAGGAACAATATGTTTCTTGCATCACGCTTTGTTAGCAGAACATATGAACACCAGGCTCGCCTCATACATAGCAATTTGTCTCCATAAAAGCCCCTCCATTCTTTCCTTGGCCCAGATAAAATGCTGGTGGGAATAACTGACAGCTGCCCTGAGCTGGTGCAAATGCTGGGCTTGGGTTTCCTTTCAGGTAGCACAGAGGCCATTCAAGATGTGTTTGTTACGGATGTCCAGAGGAGGTGAACTTCTGCCTCGTTTCAGCTCTGCATGTCATTTGGTTGAGAGTAGGATGTCACAGATTGTGTGACACTTTTTTTTAAGCAGAAACACTTGGCTGGGTAAGAGGCATGCAAACTGTCTGGTGCCACGGACCATGCTGCAAGAGCTGTTACTACAATCAGCGGGTTTTGTACCATTTTTTATCTGTCGGACCAAAGAGACCAGAGGCACGGTTGACACTATAAACTCAAAGGTCAGAGTCAGATCCTTCTTTGCTGCTGAGCAGCTTCTTCTAGATCCAGAGTCATAACACGGGTGCCTACTTTGAGGGACATTATTCTAGAAAGGAGAAGCTTTTGCCTCCCGCTATGATACTTATCTGAGAAGAGAGCCAAGTATACCAGAATTAAAGGATCTGATGAAGAGAGAAATTAGTAATTGCCTGCAAAGGAGCTGAGTGATCTGAGCTACATTTTACAAGTAGCCTGTGCTCTGCATGTGCCCTTACTGTATTAGCACTAGAACCGCACATTAGTTTTAAGACTCCCTCTCGAGTAGGGATATTGTAATGTTTTTTAATTGGGGCTGATAAAAATGTGGCATTACTTGTAGGTTCCTCAGAGAAGCCAATTGTGAAATTGGGTTTGTATTAAACCTAATGATGGAAAATTAAGCATAGTACGTCTGTCGGAAATGGTCCGCGATAAAAATCTTCTCTCCATTACAGGAGGTTAATAGGAAATAGGGGAGGAAAGATGCACTGGGAAAGCGAATCCAACTAGGGGAATTAATAAGCCTTGAAATTCCCTCTGTTCAGAGTTCTCACACTGTCATTAGTCGGAGCATTAGTGATGATTATACAAATGCTTTGGATGTTACTCTTCCTTAAATCCCAAATTTATTCACATTTTGTGTCTGAGGGTTGCTTCGCTAGAGCCATAGCTCTGTAAATCTCTAAGTGTCCTGGGAATGTGACTGTGTTTTTGAGAACCTGGGATTCAGAAATCCTTAAATTCAGTAGCCTAAACTTCAGAGCAGATGATCACTTTGTGCTAATTTATTTCAGAAGAAGCAGGATGTGTTCAGCATCTCTGATAATTCAACCACCAGACTTATTTAACTCACACTGGAGATCAGCTTGCAATACTCCTGCAACTTCAAAAGAGAGCATATGCCTTTCTTGATATCTTCCCCCTAATATAACAGTAAACCAGCTAAAGCATCATTTGTCGTGCTTTGTGGTGTCGTTGGTTTGCCAGCTGCTGGGAAGGCAGTCTGATGCCCTCATCTGTCTGCTCCCACCCAACTTCGCAGCGAGGGACAACGGCAGACATCCTGACTGCTTCTGATCAAAACTCCATGGCGATTTCTCAAGGATAGCACTGTTTACAGCACCACTCCAGCCATATTTCTCTCACATAAAAATCACCCTGAAATTGCAGTTTGATTTATTTGTTCTTTATCCCTTCAAAAACATGACTGGAGAATTGCTAACAAGGGATAGTGTTTAGGCTCTTTGTCAGTAAGATTTCTGTAAGAAGCACACCTTGTAGATGCAGTCTTAAGGGGTTTTTTTATGAACAGTCCAAGGGAAATATATTTTCTGTTTGCTAATAGCTTGGATTGGGATAAGTCCAGAAAGAATTGATGCAGGCTGTTAAAGCCTGTATGTGCAAAAGAACCCAAGCACCTCGTATGCCTGTAAAATGGTATATATGGCCAACTATATACATTTGGTCAACTTTGGTAGATAAGAAACTAAATTTTTCATCTATTCTGAGTTTCTGTTGTTAAAAATATCTATTGTAGAAGTCAATTGTTTGGTTATTTAAGCTCTTTTCTATTAGTTCACCAGGAATATTTTGTTGTGTATGTGTGTTGTGCTGAGGATATAGGAGGTTACAATCTCATCTGCACAGTGATAGAGATTTAATCCATTTCTTTCAAAAAGAAACTTTTTCTGTTAAGTTTACGTACCTGAAATTTAAATTTCTGCATGCAAGATAACTATATTTTTATGCTGTTTTATTCTTTCTGATAATGTTATGTCTTTGCAATTGACATACAAATTTTAGGCCTGAACTAACAGAGCAGTTTAATTTGCCTCTAACATCCTGTGTGGGTTATTTGAAATGCTAATAATTTGTTTGCTATTAACGTGGGCCCCTTTCAGTTATCTCATGTTGTACTCCCCAAATCCCATTTGAATATCTTGCTCATCTGTATGTATCTTTCAGCGATGTTCTTTGCAGGTTTGTGAAGAAAGGTATGTAATTTGATTGGAGTTGTTGTGCAGAGCTCACCCTTACAAAATGTGCTACTCCACTCTATGTATTGTATCCTTGTTAGCCTGATTTACTCTGTTTCCCATCTCTTTGGGTTTGTCTCCTTGACACAAAAAATATTCAAGTATGGTTTAGGCTTTCTAGGTAGCTGTAGGCAAGGCCGTATTTCCTACTTATTTCTTTATTTTCTTTTGCCTGCACCAACCTATGGGGTGGTGGAGAAACGAATAAACAGAGCAAGAATGAGAGTGGAAATATCAGATAGGTGAAAGCTTGTTTTGCTTCCCTGTCTTTAAAACAGACAGTAGCCATGGAGAGATGACCCAGCCAACCCTGACTATCCAGACCCACCCATACCGGAGCTGCGAGCCGGTGGAAATGTCCTACCCCCGGGGGCAGTTTCAGCCAGCCATCCGAGTGGCCGACCTGCTGCAGCACATCACCCAGATGAAGCGAGGACAGGGCTATGGATTTAAAGAGGAGTATGAGGTGAGAGGAACCTTCATTCACATGAATAAGTAGTGAAGTTGCACTCACAAAGGATAGATGCTTGAAAGGGGAGAATAATAGTGGTTTTAAGATCTTCTTTTCCTTAATTTACTTACCCTCTTAATCCTTTCCTTTTTCCATCTTATTTCTGTTCATGAGGGTAGGATTTTACAGCACTAGCAATCCTTGGTGTGCCTCTAGTCCAAAGAAAAGGTGTTTACTACAGCAGCAAGTTAATGGCATTGTGCTCACCTATTAGCAGGTGCCCTCTCTCCTATAAAGAGCAGAGAGTAAATATTTAACAGGTGTTGAACTCAGTGAAGGACTTAGAGTCCCATAGACCCTTACTTATGTGCTTTCATTGACAATAGTGCAAGCCAGGCTTTAAGAAAAGGAAGGTTTTTTGCTTGAGCTTTTTGGGAGCTCCAAATATTCTGTAACAATTGATCAAATTCAATTACAGCATAATGACCTGAATGCAGAACTGCAAAGGCAGGAACCCTGTGTAGCTTAAATGAAGGTGGAGTTTTCCAGTATGCTCAAACCTATGGCTCAGAATATGTTCCAACTCCATGTGAGGAGAGAAGCAAAGAGTAAGCTGCAAAAATTAAAGCAGCCCTCCTCTCCCTCCATCTCTTCCCCCCAGGCTGGAATGACCAGGAATGTAATCCAAATAACAAGAAGAAACATGACATTGGAAAGGAGTTGGAAGAGTAGTATACATTTAGAGCAGAGAGAACAGAAGAGGGAAATAGCATCAAACATATGTGAGACTTTGCTCTAGCAAGTGATAATTATAATGAACGTAGTAAGCTTGTGGGAAGGCAATAAGCAATTAATATGCATCGTGGCATTAAAACTACTTAAAAATAACATAACAGCTGTGAAAAATAAGTTACTTAATGAAAACAGCTCACTTTACCACCCTGCAAGTAAGAGTCCATGGGGTTTGTATCCTTGGTGCTGGGGTTTGCTGTAATTGAGAGGCAATCTTTTCCTGGTTGTCACCAGGGAGTAGTATTTTAATCAGATGTCATCAAAGACTGTCATAACAAATGTTTCTGGTAACTATGTTAACCAGGTCTAGTCACTCATGCCCCACAATCAAGCACTCTAATTAAACTACCAGTATAAAGAGCTCTGCTTAATGTTGAAAAGGGGTAATAATTCTCTTAGGAGACTTACTTAGCCCCCCCTTGGTCTCCATTTCCATGAATAGCACCCAAAACTACATTCAGCTCAATTACAGATGCCCCAAGATCTAGTTCTTGATGTTCAAGAAGAAAACAGGTGCTGGCATATATGTAATTATCAAAATAACACATTAGCATGAAAAATGTCAATGCAACTTTCAGCTCCACAAGTTCTGCCTTTCCCAGAAAGTGCTATCTACATACGTATAAAATGACGATGACATTATATAGATTTGCATAATTCCTTTCTTTACAAGAAATAGCCTGGAGAGTGCCACAAGCTCTCAAATCACATGTGCCATTCTACCCTTCAATCAGAGGTAATTGCCCAAAGTAGCAGTCATTTTTAATGGTGGAATTTGGTTTTCAGGGCATGGGATGCAGGCAGCACTTCAGCTCCACACAGGTTTCAGCCACCACCACCAATACCACAAGTGCAGGGAGGATGTCAAGGAGTGTTACAACTCCTGGAAGGTAGGAAGTTTGAGTTGGCTGAGAGTGGTGTCTCAGACTGGAAACTGGAGGAACACAAAGCTGCAAAGCTGGTTTTGCAAAACGTTTTGCAGAATGGTTGATAAAATCTTAGAAAATAATTTGATGTCTCTTTTAAAACATGTTTTCATACACTAATATCAGTGTCACCTCCAAATATGTTTTTTCTTCTAAGGAGCTGATTTTCTACTTGCTTTGCAAATTGACAGCATAAACTACAGTCTATTTAGTGACATGTTACCAAATAATTTTACTCTCATGAAAAATCACTTTGAACGGAGTGTCTCAGTCACACATGAGAATCTCTTATCTCTGTACATTCTCATCTCCACTGAGTAACCTGGAAATTGCGTCTGATATTTGTTTAAAGTATACCTTCACCTACAGACCATTAGAGCACAGGCAGCATGTTTTACTGAAGCCATCTTGACAAATATTTCTGGTGCTTGCATCTTGCACATAACTCCCCACTGAGATGAGAAGCAGGATGTGATCGTGTAAGTGGTGTCACTGCTGGTGTGAAATGGATGATGACTCTGTGTGTGTGTGTGTGAATGTGGGAATCTGTCAGCACTTGCCATGTGTGTGTTATTTTGGGTCTGCCTGATGCACCTGAGGCCAAAGTGTGACTTGGGCCTTTTTGGCTGCTGTGTCTGTTTAGCAATAAAACATGTAGACCAAAGGAGAAAAATGCATCACTGGCACTGGATGTAGATAGCACTATTTGGGATTAGGCATAGCCGTAAATATTTTTACGAGACACGTTGAAATGTCACCTGTTCCTTCTTCAGAAGCTATCAGCCCTGATTTGTTGTGAGCTGCGGGACGAGTCCCACAGACTTACTGCGAGCGCCAATTACTGGCTGAGGAGATAATAAGCTTAAGTATCCAAACTCATTTTCCATTATGATTTAGGATGTCACTAAAGCACATTCTTCTGCTGCATTACTGAGACCATTTAGTTATTTTGGATCTTGTGGCTCCTTTGTCAAGCATCTTAATATTGAGAGTCTTCAGCTTATTGAAGTCACCCCTGGATGTTAACCTTTTCATTTCTGGCTGGCTACACATCTTCTGTGTGGTCAAAAGAATAGATCCTGTGGTTCAAGCTATGACATGACATTGCAAAATGTTTGGCAGTGGGATGTTACCTGTCTTATGCCATTCTTGGCCAATGTTGGCTTAAGGCTTTGCTATGGAACCAGAATGGGGAATGGAACTGGCTGAAATATTTCTTTTCAGGTTATTTTTTTTTATCCAAAGCAGTTTTTAACCCTGGGTCACAGCAGAGTTGTGAGAACAGATTTGCCACCACTGTTGAGAAGGTAGTGGCTTCGGGAAGGGGGCCAGGAATCTGGCAAGCTTTGAGATGAGCAGCAAGGATTTTACATGATGTTGTTGCCTTTGGCATCAATACTGCAGCATTGGGGCAGATCAGTGCAAATGAACCAGTTTTCCTATTTGAATTAAAAACAAACAGCAAACTAAATAAATACATACATTGGAAATTTAAATTGGCTTGCAATAAGCCTCAATTTAATGTGAACACTTATGTTTCATCTATGTTGCTTAGAAAGCTTGATTTGAGATGAGCCTGACTTTTAGAGATCTATCCTTGTAATTTCAGATAAAAATTAGATCAATTTAGTTTAAAAGGCATCATTGTAACATAAGTTCCACTACTGGGAAGATATTTCAGTAGAAATTTTACAAAACTTCTCTAAAAGAAGAAAAGTAAAGAAAACCTGAAAATCAAGTCCAGGTCTTTGAACACTGGAAGTTCACAGTTGTTGAATCAAAGAAAGAAGGGGGAGCATTTCCTGCGAAATGTGGATCAAATACTGATGCCCGAGTGATCTATCCTGATTTACCATTGCTGATAACGCAGAGAGAAACAGAAATATTAACCCCTTTTGCTATTATAGAGATACTTATTTTATGAACAAAAACTGAAGGAACAAAACATTAGGTATGCTCCTCTTATTCTGGATGCAACAGAATTATAATTGATATTTTTTCCTTTGTATTTCTAATGCAGTTTCAATTCTTCGTGCTGCATTTTTAGTGATCTCACCAAACAATTGTGCTGTGCCACCCATGTGCATGCAGTTACCCCAGTTTGTTCGTCTGGGGTGTATAACAGTAGGGCTATAAGGTACACCTCTGCCAAGGCAGTTTGTGTTCCTCACCAACCAGAGCTGTGCTTTCTCTCTTCAGAGGGGGATAGCTCTGTGAAAAGCAGAGATGTCTTTGGTGTTGAATGAGATGAAAAATGCTGGACTCTTAATCTTTGGAGGCTATATAAGGCAAATATAAAAACATCCATTTCAATGGAGAATTTCATGTTCAAATCACATGAAAGGATAAGGTTTGTTGAAAAGGGATTTATTGGACCTGCATGTATTTTCTTTGGCCAAGGTAGCTTCTCCCACATGGAAATCATGAGAAAGGATTTTCTTTTTTTTCCTTTTCCTATGGCTATGACTAGATGTCTAATGACTGTTGCTGTTCTCTGGTCAATCTGCTGTAATTTGATATTAGTGGAAAAATAAGGAACCTTTTTCCTCAGTCTTTGAAGATGAAAATGAACCTTCCTCACCTCTTTTCTTTTACTCAGAGATTTTTTTTGTTGTGTGGTTTGTTGGTTGGGTTGTTTTTGCTCAGGAGATGAGCTGCTATTTGGAAACTGCTGTCTGTAAAGGAAATATATGTGTGATCAAAGCCCTCACCAATTACAGAGTTATTACTCTTTCTCCTGGGCTTTTGAATAGGAACTCACTGTCCCTGTCTTTTGTCAGCAATGCTCGTGGCAGTGCTGCAGTGCCTGACATTTTCTGTCCTGGAACCCCTTTGGGGGAGATTCACAATGATCTGGTCTGCCAGGGGTTTGCTCATATGAAGTTTAATTGTAATGTCAGTGTTGTAGATCCTAATAATTGTGTCTCTCTGCTATTGCATTCAGGAACTGTAAGAGACCTGGATGGCTTGTGAATATGAATATAAATTCATTTTCTAGCACAGCTGTGTCAAACTACCTGCTGCTAGCTAAGGCAGATATGATACTACAATGATTGTGGTATAAAACCCGTGTAATTCCCTGGGGAACATAAATAATACAATTTATGATGTGGCTGTTGTTTTTAGTAATGTGGGATCATGTTAGGGAGTCGATCTTGGAGAAGGCAGATCTAGAAAGGCAATTCAGTGGGAGCTGTTCTTCTCCTCCCCTGCATTTTCAGCAGAAGTCAGGGCTAGGCTGGCTGCAGCTGACACCACCGGTTTGCAGATCATGGCTTTCCGTCCAGTTGTGACGCCAGCGATACGCAGGGACCTGGTGTCATTGCTGTTCCAGCAGCAAGCACTGCTGTGCCTGCTGCTTTGATCTGCTGGTGCTGACTCCCCTGACCATCCCCAGACGGGGAAGAGGGATCATCCTGCTTACATCCTGCTTAGAAGATGGTCCGGGCCATCTTCTAAGGAAGGCAAGGCCGCCCCTAAGCCAGATCAGTGACACTGAAAATACTTTGCCTTGAAAATCCTTTCCAGACGTGTCTCAAGGGGAAAGAGGCTCATTTGAGTGTGTTCAGAATAGTTATCGGACCAAGCCATAGGGCAGGGTAGCAGGGTGTGCTGCCAGTTTCCTTACCCCATCCTTTCTCAACTGTAAGAGCAGATTTTAGGAAAATGACTATTTATTTTCATACTTCATGAGCATGTTTTACCTCCATTTGCCTCTCTTCCTTACACATGATCTAAAACCCTGAGCTTTCTTTTTATTTTTCCCCAAAGAAAACCATTTAGTGGTTTGTATTGCAGCACCCCATTATTAATATAGAAACTGGTGAAACCACTGTACCTGTTTTCAACTTAAATATGAAGACTGAGCACTATGTTTCAGCCATCTGGGTTTTCTTAGAAGTGTAGGTATGTGAAATCTCCACAAACCCTGATCTACAGGGGAAATGAAGTTAACTTGTGACTGTGCAGCCAGAAACAAATTCCCCCCATCCTTTTAGATCTGAAGTAGCAGGAGGAAAATTATTCTTCGCTGGCAGAAGCCAAGAGATGCAAATGGTCTGCACCAAGCTCTGCTTTTTGCATTAGTGGATGTGCCCTTTCCTCAAGAACAGCTGTTCGCTTGGTTGACTACTGAATTATGCGGTGCCTGTATTTTTGCCCTGCTCAGTCATCTTAATCCACCTGAAGGCATTGGCCATATTTTTATAAACACTCCACTATTGTTTATTTTGCAGGCACTACCCGAGGGGCAGACTGCATCCTGGGATACAGCCAAAGAAGACGAAAACCGCAATAAAAACAGATATGGAAACATAATCTCCTGTAGGTGTAAATTCACATTAAACTGAACTTTCTGTAAGATTTTATATACATCCTGTGGAAAAGGGTGTGCTTGAGAATCTCACTAAAAGCTGGTTTACAGTGGTGAGCATTCAGTAGTTCAAGCTGTTTGTTACAGGCTATGTTTCTATGATTTTTTATTTTATTTTATGGTTTTTTAATTGTTTTACATAAATTCATTGCATGACTTTATGGGTTTTTACGCATTTTCTATCCACCTTGCTTTGTGCTTAATGTTTGTGATTTAAGGGCTAAATCTTTTTGTCAGATTTTCACAGTGGGTGATGATGCCCATTTTCTGTCCATTTTTATTACATAACCCAGAGCTTTCAGTGCCACAAATGAGACCACAAAAGGAAATGCAGATATATCAGGTTTTTAGATATGGATCAGAGATCAGATTTTCTCCTTCCTTGTGGTCAGTGGAACAGTTGCTGCTCATCCCCAGAGGGCTGGTTTGATGTTTGGGACAAGCTTAGATTCTGCCTCAGAATCACAATAAGGCAGCTGAAAAGGCACTAAAGTTTCTTAGTTTTACTTCTTTACTTCTTTCAATAACCAATTACTGTTGGTGTTATAGGAATATTGATACATCGCAGCACTGCAGGGTAGGACCCCATAAAACCTTTTAGGTCAGCTTTATTCTCCATCACGACTAAATTCACCTCTGTCTTTTTTTTATCAGATATTTGTGAAGCCTCTTCCCAATGCTCTCCAAAGTTGAGCTTTCCATGAGCTCTCCAGGCAGCTTAGCCCAGTGTTTCATTATTCCTTGTAATGACTGGGGAGAGGAGGTGTGAGAAGTAATTCTTTTTAAGGGCTGCTGCACAGCATCAAGTTGGAGAAGCCAGGCCTGAGACCATCAGCACAAGAAATAAGAATATAAATGAATGTGCCATAGATTTTCATGACTGGATAAATCTATAGAATGCTATATGAGCAAAATTAAGTCATGCTGAGTGATATATTTAGTACTGAATTTTTTCTCAGGTTAAATACATATTTCCTATTGAACAAACAGACTTTACTAAAGAATTAAAAAAAAAAATTGGCCACGAAGAAAGGTCATCTGACACGTAACTACTCCTCTCTTTTAAGACTTGAAAATAATTATTCATATAACAGTTTCGGGGGAATGGTGGCATAGAACAGCTCAGTTCAGGGACCCTACAGTAAAGATAAAGAAATCTGGAAATTAAGATCAGAAGTTTGTAAGCTCTGCTCTGATCCCACTTCTGCTGCTGGCTTTCTGTGTTGGTTGTGAGCAGGTCACCAGTTCCATCAGTCTTTGTTTTTCAGTGTGGAAAATGGAAGTGATAATACTGTATTACAGTTATTACTATATTACAGAGTATTACTGTTAGCGTGAAAATCATCTCCCTTAACTTCAGCTGCCTAAAAACTCCACCTTGTTCTAAGTTTCCTATGTTCCTACTCGGAAAAAGAGATACTTCCAGACAGACTTTCAATTTACCTGTCTATACATTTAGCTTAGATTAAATTTGTCTAAGACAGATGAATAGTCCAGCTGTTACAAATACACACTGGATTGAAGATGGAAGTGCTATAGTATGATATAAGGAAGGAAATGTGAAAGACTCTTTGTTTCTCTGTAAGATTCTGAGGAAGCAGTTGACATAATTTAAAAGTGGAGGTGAAAAAGGCAAGGCTGTTTGCGATAGCTACCATCTAATTTATGTTGAAGGTGGTCACAAAGAAAATGTTGAACTCCAAGTGAAATGTGAGAAGAAATTAAGGAAGCAAAATCGAGGAAGATAAACGGGGTATTATCTAAAGGGAGAGTGTTCACAAAGATGAATTATTGTCTAATGGAGAGTGATGTTAGCCTTTTAGCTATAAATATAAATACAGTAGCAATACAGGTAGGAGGTGATGCGCTTGAATAAGGGAATGCAAAATGTAATCAAAGCTAAGGAAGAAGTGTCTTCACAGACAAACATCAGAAAAGAAGCCCAAGTTTGAGGGCTGTTGGGAAAGATTTCAGAATGAGGTTGAGAGGGTGGAAAGGCATAGATAAGGAAAGGAAGGTGGTGAAAAAGGAAAGACGCTGAAGAGTTGAAGGTAAATAATAAAATGAGTGTTTCCTTCACTTTAAATATATAACAGAACAAAGAGCTTGAGGAGGAGACAGCAGCTCTTCTAAAAGACACCAAGGAGAATTTAGTAATGTGCAGTAAAGACTTATAAAACAGAGTGAAATCCTTGCTTCACTTTGAAGAGGCTAGGGAGAAGGAAGGGACGATGCCTGAGGAAGGAGCATGTAATTCATCGGATAGTTTGTAAAACCATTAGGAAATTATCAGTGGTATCACTGGCTAAGCCTTGAGCCAGACCCTACTGATGGGCGATGCTGGGCAACTTTCCTGAGTAAAGGCAATGACAGAATCCAGAACAGAGAATTGATAGCAGAGCTGAGAACAGCAGGAGACTAGTTCCCTCTGGGCAGATTATGAAAATGAGTTGTTCTCCGTGGGTACAAACTGTGCAAAAGCCAGAGCAGAGGAGGGGCACTAGGAAACGGTTACACCCTCAGCTGCTTTGTTGTGCTAGAATTGAAATTGCTGGTAAAACCCAGAGTATGTACTGGTTGTTCCTGCCAGTTTATTTGGCAAAAGGCTGCAGATGGCAATTAACATTATTTATTTAACCACAGCTAAACAAGAACAAGATATTGAAAAGTCAGGGTTTGATCTAACTTTTGTAACTGCTTCAGAGACTTTTGTTAAAATGTGGGTTTGTAAGCTCTTGCAATAAGTAGCACTGCTCAGTGAATCACAGCAGATTAGATCTTGTCTTTATGGCCTTCTGGGTAATAGTACACTTACAGGACTGTTTTTCTCAGCTCGCTGCTTTCCTGGGGCTGTATTAACATCGTGGCTCTGCACAAAAACCTAGTTCTTACTGCCAGCCCCAACATCTGCTGTTCTTACATTTGCAAATCAAAACTGCAGATGAGGCGAATCTGTTCATGGAGAGGAGATGCAAGAGAGCTCTAAGCTCTCCCATGCTTTAAACCCCAGCATTTCAGGGTTCCCTTCAGTCTGTAACACTGGTATGTTTTTGGAGAAAAGAAAAAGCTGAGGAGCAGATTTGGGGTCTGTAGGACCACAGAAATCCACTGTTGATGGTGGAAAGATGCACTGTAATTGCACAGATTTGCCATGCTGGAGGAAGTTGCCCTACCCAAACTTTTTATTATATCAGCAGAGTCCATGAGCTTTGCTCCCATGCTTTGGGTATAAAACCTGTAAACACAAAGACAGTTGTAGAGATGCAAGATTTTTCTTTGGGGGGCCAGTGTGGGTAGTGTATCCATTTATGTGCTGAAGTGAAATGATTTAAATATGTTTTAGGGCCTAGATATTGAGGCTTTCAAAACACATCAGCAAGTGGTTGTTAGGGGAGGGATGTTGAGCTTCTGTGGGTTGAGGCACAGCTGTTACATAGAAGAGAAAACATCCAGAGGCTATATGGGACTTTTGGTTCCATTCTGTTTCTCCCCACCTTGTCCAGATTTAGAGCCATTACACTATAAGAGAGTAAAAACTCTCAGATGAGAGCTGAGGACATAAAGACTCAAGACTGTGTTTTGCTTTGACTTATAGGAGAGCACTTTCTTTCCCTTTCTTTTCCCCCTTTACGTAATATTACAGGAGGTCAGTACTCACAGGAATGCTTGTACTGGTGCTACTTTAGACACATCCTCCCATCTGCAGTGGAGCATCTTCCCACTTAGGCACCGTGGTTTTATAGTTCTTTGATGGTCCGTTAAGAACTATTGAGTTGATGACAAAAGACAGTAGAGAAATTTGCTTCGTTTCCTTCATGCTCTGACTACCGTATGCTTTGGGCTGGAAGACTGTGAATTAATCAGAGAATTTTGTGGTGGAAGAGATGAACAGCAGAGAGAGATTAACGGAGCTTTCAGCTGAAATGCAGGTGGAGTGCACTTCTTGGCCACGGACAGGGATAATGCATAAAATAAAAAAAAAGTGCATGTCAGTATTGGATTTAGAATAGAAGTCTTTTGTCTTCCAAGCATTTTTATTCCCTGGTTTCATCTGTAGTGCCTCAACTCTTGCCTGTCTGTGCAGTGTCCATGGTATGTGATCCTGAGAGGGTGGGATATAACACACCTCGCTGTTACTCAGTTCTCAAGGCACAGTCCAGCACCAGTGGGACAAGAAAGGGGAGGACAGCATGCCTTGGGAGAGCAAATCATCCTTTTGTACCAGAACTGGGTTGAATGATTTCAAAAGAAGTCTGTATTTCTCCATTGATTATGTGGGGAACCTTGACAGCCAGTTTAGACTATCTGTGTAATATTTAGATGGTAAAAGTTGTGTGAGATTAATCCAGTGCTGGCGTCAAAATGAGATGTGGAAAAATTGCAATAATATTTCAAATGATCACTAATGGGAATTTTGACAGAAGTTTGAAACAATAACATTTTTGTGCTAAAATGGGAGCACAATGTTTTTCAGTGAAATTCTTGTCATTTTAAAAATCTGTTTTAAGACCAGTTTTGAGGCAAAGTACTCTTCATACAAATTTAGAGTTCTGCTAACTTGCATACAGACTATAGTAAACAGGGAGAAATAAAATAATTTCTACATTTGTGAAAGGATATTTCCATTTTTTGCAGTCCTGAATGTTAACAGACAGGCAAATTTTCTTCTATTTTCCCCTCCATTTTTAAAGTTTCTTATAATCCATTTGTAACACACGGTGATATGATGTCTGATAAATTTACAGAAGAGTTGAGTGGCACTTTCATTTCAGTGTGCCAAATATGTAGTCTCCTTGGCTGCTGTAGTCCAGGGGAAAGGGTTCAGAATCAGAAATAAATGCTGGCCATTGGGAGAAGATAGAGTGAAGATACTTGCTGTTCTTTAAAAAGTCCTTTAAAGTCTATAGAGGAAAAGAACCTAAGTACAAGATCATTACTGTTAGTAGCATAATAAGTTCATTGGCTTTTGCCACTCTCCATTTAAAAAAACCCAAACAAATAACTTCCAAAGTTTGGGCAGAAAAAGGAATTTACAAGGTAAGTTATTTCATGAACTTTTATTCAGACTGTGCTCCTAAATTTATGAACAAGATTCAAGGCACCATTAAGATAACATTAATATATTGTGTGCTTACCATATAGAATTAACTAGATCAGGTTGCTCAGAGCCCCATCCAACCTGGCCTTGAATGTTTCCAGGGATGGGGCCTCCACTACCTCTCTGGGCAACCTGTTCCAGTGTTTTACCACCCTCATTGTAAAAAATTTCTTCCTTACCTCTAGCCTGAACCTACCCTGTTCTAGTTTAAAACCATTTCCCCTTGTCCTAACACAGCTGGCCCTACTAAAAAGACGTTCCCCATCTTTCCTATAGGCCCCCTTTAGGTACTGGAAGGCCGCAATCAGGTCTCCCCGTAGCCTTCTTTTCTCCAGACTGAACCAGCCCAACTCTCTCAGCCTGTCCTCATAGGAGAGGTGCTCCAGCCCTCAGAGGGGGCTGGATATTTTTTTTCTGCTGCACTCTTCACATTCATAAGAGAAATAAATCTGCCACAGGAATGAACCTCTTTTTTGTAAAATATGCAATAAAATATTGTAAATTCTGTCCTCCTGAAACAAAGTTCTACTAAAAGTATTTTTCATTTGGTCTCAAAATATAATTGGACCTAAACCTGGATGTCTCCTTTTTTAAAGATATCATCATTTCCAGCAGTCACTTCTTCATTACTGTTCTTCACAAATAGAATAAACCATATTTGGCTTAAAGGGGAAAAAAAAAATCAGCAACACTTTTTACAGCTACAGACCATCTTTTCTTTATCCATAATTGTCCTAAATGCATAGACCTCTTCTGCAGTCTCCTTCTTGGGTCTTTCACATCTAGCTCCCTCAGGAGGAATTCATCCTGTCTTTTTCAAGTTTTTAACAAAAGAGTGGCTCAAAGAGCTGAAACTTAATTTTGGGGTTTGGTTCTATTAAATAAAGAGAGGCAGGTTCTTCCTTGAGGGTTATTCAGAGCACTTCAGCTGCACACCATGCATAGGCAGTGTCTTTGTCCCACTTAAAAAGTCTACCTGAGATTCTTTTCACGTGCCATTAGGGTCACTTTTGGTCTCATCACTTTTTAGTTCTATTGTTGCAAAAAGTTAAGACTTTCATAATGCTATGATATTGTGGCATCACAAGAGGAGTTAGCAAATATTCCCCTCCCAAACATTAGCTCTAGGGTTTTTTTACTTTGCTTTTGTTCTGTGTGATTCTTAACTAGCCTTAGTTTCCTGCCTTGAATTGCAAGTGTGAAATTGTCTGCAGGAGATTTTGTGTATTTCATCTAAATGTCCAGTTTAATCAGCTCTTTGTCTGTCTTTGTGAATTGCTCTAAGTATAAATTCTTTTGTTGTCTGTCGAACCACATGATTTACTGCAACTTCTAATGCAGTTGCCTTGAGTGCAGGTAATTGTCTAGAGTTGGGAACATCAGCACTCTGAGAAATATACCTACTTCCACTGCATCTACAAAGGTTGTATTTATTAATACAAATATAACAGAGCTTTTGATGGATTCACCTGCATAACCTGTTTTGAATGCAAATATGGAATTTGATAAATGCAGCAATGTGGTTATCTTTTTGGGGTGTGAAAATCTCATCCGAAGAATGAACAGAGTATGAGAATCATTGCTTTACATAATCAAATGAATATTTAGTATTTATCCAAATCTTGGTTTTCAGAACCACATGTACATCTGTCTTCACAATTATTATCTGATTCTACGTTTAATTAAGTGATGACTAAAACCCTTTTTGACTGAGTTACTGCAGAATCACACCTCATATTTTTATGTTTCATTGCTATGATTCTTTTTAATTGAATGTAAATCATTCATTAGGCCCGTATTTTGCAAAGTGCTTCTGAACATTAGTGCTTTATTGACTGAGAGCTAGGGTCTACAGAGCTGGTAGAGAGGAAATAAACTTCATGGACTCTGTATCATAATTCCTAAAAAAATCCTTTAAAAATGAGCCCAGCATGCCCAGCAGTGACCGCTGTAACCTAGTACCCTTTGCCAAGCGACTGGCCCTTAGATAGCAGTTCTGCAATTAATTGCATACCAGTGCTGGGATTGCCAGACCAAATCAGTTCAACAGCCCAGCTCACAGAGTATCTCCTTTGACAGAGCCCAGCACCAGCTGTTCCAGAGAAAGATCAAAATATTCCCTTGGTGGAAAATCATGACATAATCTGCCCTCTGGGGTAGTTCCTTTCTGTGTCTGAACTGTAGAGCGTGCTGTGGGATGAAAAGATTGATATCTATTATTTTATTGCCTTATCTAAAGTAACTTTGAACGTCCTCAAAACCATGAATATTTCTGATTTATTCTTTTTTAACACTGCCTTGATGCTGTTTTGTTGCTTTGAGTTCTGTGGGTTGCATAAAGGAACATTACTCTGATTTCCTTTGGTATTTCCTTTCATCTTTCTGGGTTTCCCCATTTCTCATTTGCCATTTCACCCTCCTTAATCTTTTATACTTCTGTTGTGACCTATGTATTTTTATCGTGATCTTGACTGTTTTAGCTCTTGCCTCAGTTTCCACAGCTCAGATGAAGCCAGGGAGGTGTTTACTTCCAAGAGTCAACATGGCTTTTGTGGATGGAGATACATCCTGCAAAGATCTGTCCCAAGACCCCCATACCAAGCAACATTTGTGGTCCGACTAAAGGCTCTATAAGGGTTATGGTGACAGCAGTGAATTTAATGAACACAAGAGTATGAATGAACACTAACCTAAGGATCTAAACTTTACATCTTAAACACAAAAGAAAGGGCTTGTAGGAACAGGAATACCTGTGATACTCTTTCTTTTTTTGTTATTGTAGGTATTCAGTTACCCACCTGCAGGAATTGGCAGATAAAATAAAACACTTAGAAACTCCTCTTTATCGTTACTGTCACTTTTTTTTCTTTCCTTCTTTCAGATGATCATTCAAGAGTGAGATTGCAGCTGCTGGATGGGGACCCTCACTCTGACTACATAAACGCCAATTACATAGACGTAAGGCTCCTGGACGTTCCCGCTGTGACAAACACTCCTGCTGACAAGTCTGCTTATGAATTTGGTGCATCTGACATAGGGACGGACTGCTGATCTGATATGAATGATAGCTGAACATTATACAAACATCATGTCATGACAAGGAGAAGGTTCTCGGTCTCCAGTTGATTCTGTCTGACCAGTCTGGACAGATGGAGATTTCCTATGTTTGACAGATCCACCAACATAAGTGGAATGTGGGCTAAATGACATATACAGAAATCAGTATCGGCCCCTTGCAATAGCATTAGTAGATATCTGAGACTTATCAACTTCTTACAAGGTTGCAGGGCATGTAAATAGATTGACTTTTTTTTTTTTTAGTGCTATAAAATAACATTCAAAAAGCAGCCTCCCTCACACACACAGAATGATGAAATGAACACACACTTCTTGTATGCATCTCCTAAATCTTAGCAACATGACAGTGTTCAGAAGAGTTTCTTTAAGGGATGAAAAATACACCCAATAAAGTTACATAAGACTGATGTGCAGCATTTTCATACAGAGGGAAATGCATACCTTTCTTTTTCAAACAAGAAGGTGCAGCAAAACGCTGCCTATTAGTTCTCAGAGTTGCCCACGTTAGTCACAGGACTTGTGTTTCTTTGAGGAGATAGTGATAACTGCTCCATGCCTGATTTCTCTGTAGCATGATGAGATCTTATTACTCAGCCTGAGCGAGATACCATTACTTCAAAATCTCATAGGGCACCCTACTTGCCTGTCATCATTCATTCAATCACCACTGTTAGTACAGTGTGAAGAGTGCAGCAGTAGTTGGTACCTGGAAAGTATAAAATGCATGGCGTGCTTTGCCTGAGTTATGAGCTTGCAGATCGTCACATATTTTCTTTTTTTCCAGGGCTACCACCGGCCTCGCCATTACATTGCAACTCAAGGCAAGTTCATTCTTGTATGTCTAAATATTTGTAAAACCACTGCTGTTTTAAACTGTTGTAAGAGCTATTTATAGTGTGACATCTTCTGTTTTGGGAAGCATATGAAAACTTGGTATAGGGGCACAAAAGGGAAGGGTATAGAATGTTCCAAGATCTTTAAGGCACTCAAACACAAAACCTCAGCTACAGGAATGAAAAATGCTACAGACTTAGAGGTGGCAGTACAATCTATAATGTGCCCTTTGTGCATGAAGTATGAGATTAGAACTAAAAGGGACTTTAGGGATCTTGGGTTTACCTTCTGGAATGAAATTGCTTGAGGAGGGCAGTATGAATAAGCCTGTGACTGGTGAAATTTTGGTTACTGGGAACTAGTACGAAATGTATTTGAGCACCACCTTCCGTAAGTTAGTTGGTGAGTTTCCTATGCCTTTAGGGAAAAGAAAAAAAGAAAGACAATTCAATATTGAGGGTTATCCATGTTAGAGGGCAAATCTCCCTACTCCTGTTCTTTAGAACAGGGTGCTGTTTTCCTGCATCACTGGCCAAAGTCTTATGCCATGACCACTTCCTCTACCGTTAATTGTCCTCATTTTTGTGCATTCCTTACCTGCAAATGTGATGTTTGTAGAAGTGACTCTATTTTTAAATTCTGATTTTGACTTCATTGCTGGCTTGTCCCTATTGAAAGAGTGAAAATACATATTAGAATAAAACTGGCATTTGAGGATGTACAGGTATAGGGAATGCAGCAAGGCAGAGAGCATGGAGGATGGAGCATGGGCAGAGCGGTGAAAGGAGTCTGTGGGAAGATTTCATCTACAGTGTAGAACAGAGGAAGGAAACAAGATCAGAGGGAGGCTTTAGTCTAATAAACTTCTTGTGAGTACTGGCTCTTTGGCTGTTGGATCCTGAACTTTTTCTCTCTGGGGGAACCTCAGAAAAGGGCTAATTTCTGCATGTTTCCTTCCTCCTTCATAACTAATAAATATTAAAGTGTGAAATGGAAAAATTTTAGTGCTACATCAGCTACAAATTTCAATACAGCCTTAATTACAGAGTCTCTATAGGGTGCATCCATGTCCCGTCTCTTATACATGATTACCTATTGGAGCCATCTCCACTATTTACAATACAGCCATCACCTCTGTTTCCAGCATGCTAGAACATTAAATACCCCCTGTGAGAAAGTGTCCGATCTCTTAAAGAGCTCCAAGCTGTTCGTGTCTGTAAGCCTGAATCACAGCGGGATGCTTTGAAAGGGAGAATAGGATCCTTCGGGAGCAGGGCAATGGCTGGGGAACAGCTGAAAAGAGTTGTTGGCATTCAGTACACTCTCTTAAGATGTCCTTTTGTCTTTTCTCCTGCCCCAGGGCCGATGCAAGAGACAGTGAAGGATTTCTGGAGAATGATTTGGCAAGAAAACTCTGCAAGTGTTGTCATGGTCACCAACTTGGTGGAAGTGGGAAGGGTAAGGGTACCACTTTCCCAACTTATAAAGCCAAACCCGCACTGGGTATTAACACAGTGCCGCTGTTCAGGCAAGCTCAGCAAGTGAAATTCCTTTTGCTTACTGTAGTAAGGGAATGAATTAAGCCACTCTGGGTTTTTCTCTAAAATGCTAGATCTTGTAATACTTAGCTGCTTCCCTTCTAGACTAATAAGGATCGTGTTCCTGGTGTAAGTCTCAGCTTTAGGAGAGTTATACAAATTTATGCTAGCTGAGAAGCTGCCTCCTTTTTTAGTACAGAAGGAAAAATGTACTTCTGTAATAATTATTCTTTATCTGTATAATTTCAATACTTCTCTATTCCCAAAAATCCAGAGGGGCAAGAAGGTACAACTGGTGTTCAAACTATCAAAAGAGCTCTTTAAATGACAGTTCAAAGCCTAGAGTTTCCAATCACTTCAGAAGATCACTGTTCCATGGTGGTATGAGACGGGCCAACCAGCAGTGTTGGCCTCCTCAACACCCACCACTTCACTTTCTTGGACTCAGATGAACCAGAAGTCCCTGTGTCAGCACAAGGCAATTGCCAAGGCCAAGATGGGAGCAAACATGAATAAATAAAGGGAGAAAGAAAAATAAAAGGAGCAGGCTAGACTTTAGGGAATAAGAAAAAGCATGTCTGGGGTGGCTTTCCCCAGCATATTCTTCCCACTCCTGGTAGTCTTTGCTTTAGGGACATTCTCAGCCAGAAATGGGAGCTCTTAAAAAATTTTGTCCTGATGTTTGTCACCTTCCATTGCTTTGGTACTAAGAAAAAACTGAATGACGGTTTACTCACATCCATTAGTAATTCAGCTGCTTTGTATTTGATTTCCTTTAGACTTCATGGTTGAATGCCAGCCAGTTATATTCATTTATTGTTTTTTATTCTATTTTAACTTCTGCTGACACTTCAGTTTGAAATACATGTCTATGTGTAAAAAAACCCCAACAAACCTACACTAATCACATTTAATATTTATAAAACCCCCTCCAATTATGACTGGAACTGAAACATGAAACCTGCTTTGCAGTAGCTAATTGCTTCAGCTTTTAGGTGCTGTTCCACTCTTTTATGCTAGAGCATTTAATAACTTGATAGGCTTTGTTAGCCTAAATATCCCTTCTAGAGCTTCACAGCCTTGGCTTCAATTTCTACTATTAGTTTTGCACATGGCTTCTAGAAGTGGCTAAGCTTGGGATATGTTTACATGACCAGGAGATTTCTTTCCTGAGCCCTAGCTGAGGCCTGTCACAACTGGTAAAATGTCAGTTTTGTGTCCACATCTGTAAGGAAAGCTTAGAGTCAAACAAATGTAATGTGTCAGCAGGTATCTCACAATCCCTGTGAACTGAAATTGTTTGGCTAAACAGAGGAAGTTCAGAATTACAGTAGAGATACCAAGAGCATAGATTTTTCTCAAAAGGGATGGTGGTAGTGACTGCCAGGTATTCTGTAATGCTAATATACGGTCAGGGTGTACATGGAAATTTAAAGAAGACTATCTTAAAGAAGAAGAGCTAAATGAAACCCTTTTATTTATATTCACAACTGAGGAAACTGAAAAAAAAGAATCCTCCCTGTGGTTTCTATATATGGTAAAGAAATTTTGATCTAATTTCTAATTGATCTAATACAGCTAATTTTGACGGTCTGTACATCAGAAGAAAGCCCAATTTGCATTGGCTTCAGCTTGAAAGTGGAGTAAAATATAGGTCAACTCTGACTCAACTTGAGCTAGTTTCTCTCAATATTTTCTATTTTGCCCCAGGTAAAGTGTGTTCGATACTGGCCAGATGACACAGAGGTCTATGGAGATATTAAAGTCACATTAATTGAGACGGAACCACTGGCAGAGTATGTCATACGCACATTTACTGTACAAAAGGTAAGGAAATCTTCAATCAGCTGAAATTTTGATACAAAATTAATTTGTGGACAGAAATGTGAACTCTGGGAAACATACACAGAATGCTCTTGAAGATGGGAGCTGTTACTATTTGGACAGGTTTCACTTCAGAAACCTAAATTTTTCACAGAGATGCCAAGTTTGGACAAATTATTTTAAATTAACATCTTGATGTAGCCACAGAAGTAGAATCCACAATGCATGAAGTTTAAGTGCATCCAGAAGCCAGCAGATAGTTGATAGTATGCCAGAAATAGCTGTCATTGGCAAATTACAGCTGAAAAAAGGTATCAGTTAAAATGAATGCCAGGTAGGGTCCCCTTTCAACAGAAATAAAAATAAAATAAAGAGTATAAAAATTATCCCCAAATTGTCAGGATTTGGAAGATTTTTCTTACATGTAATTAGAAATTGGAAGTCTAAATATCAGAGTATTCCAGGTCTGCCCAAATTACTCCTCACCTAGAAAATGGTTTTAAAGCTTTTCAGAAATTCCTGCTAAATGAACTTCAGCCACACTGGGAATATTGTTCCTGTTTTCTAATACATCAGCTCCATAATTCATTAAATCAATGAAAAACTTGGTAAGAAATGCTAATGCCAGAGTCTGAGAGGTTAGAGGACCTGCTGCTGGCTTGCACCCTACGTTTCCTGTATGGTGTCACAGCTAACAGACACTTCTGTGTTACCCTTCTGTATATACCCTAGGGTATATACAAGTGGTGTCAGTTTTCATGAACCAATAACTTGGTCTTACCAGAAGGCCTGGGTACCAGTTGCTGCCCTTTTCACCACCAGCTGTAATCTCAAACTGAGATTTAATTGGTAGGAGAGGGCAGAAAATCTACCTTTTCTGGGGCATGCCCACTCTGTAGGTGTTCATTCCCCAAGCTGTTGCTTCAATGCTTCAAAAAGGACTTAAGAGTGACTTCTGGGGGATTTATGGCAATAGCAGCAAAGGAGGCTGGATAAGTGCAGCCACGGCATGCTGGGACTGAAGTCACCCTGTAAAGTTCCTGATCATCTGGGTTTGAACTCTTAAGAAGTTTGAACGAGGAGCTGGTGTTCACCTTCAGAGACCTCAGTTTTATGTTACCCACTTCATTTGTACTTGGGAGTTCAGCTTGAAATCTCTCAGAGTGAAAAGTGGTGCAGGACATGTTCCCGTGTATAATGAGAGCTAAATGCTTGTTCCGCCCTCTGCGTGAGGGAAAGGAGCAGTGATCAGAATATGCTGATTGCAGTCTGATGGAAGAAAAATAGAGGCTGTGTTGTCTCCTCAGAAAGGCTACCATGAGATCCGAGAGATTCGGCAGTTCCATTTCACCAGCTGGCCAGACCATGGGGTTCCTTGCTACGCCACAGGCCTCCTGGGCTTCGTTCGTCAGGTGAAGTTTCTCAATCCCCCAGAAGCAGGACCCATTGTTGTGCACTGCAGGTAGGCAAATTCTTTGTCTGAGCCTTTTCTCCAACAGCTTTTTCAGCTTTTTTCCTTTTTTCTTCTCATCTGGCAATAATCAACTACATTTTGTTTGTTTAAGAGTATAATTTCAGGGCCTCATGGGGAAACAAAGTGGAATTTGGTTTTCTTTTCTAAAGTGGCAGCTCTGGAGCTTAGCTGCCATGAATTGGAGATGATATAAGTAGGTCAAAGAGGGCCATTTGAATGTAGAAGGCTCTCTGGTGGCCTATACTCTCTTAGATGCTCATAGCAGAGCTGGGAAGATGGTAAATATCTGGGACAGCCATTCCAGGCATATTATCTACCACAAACCTCACGTGGCAGAAGGGATGATGCCTACAAAAAGACAGGGTTGCCAACAGGGAATTCCAAAGCAACCTTGCTTTTCTTTACCCACATACAGTACACTTCAGCTTTGTACCAGCATCAATCCCAAACATGTCTTCCTGGGTCTGGGTCTGAGTGCCAGCTATTGTGCATCTTGGCCTCCTCAAAGCCCAGGAGCTGGATTAAGAATATAGGAATTCCTATTAGGAATGTAAATAGACTGAAAACCTGCCCAGTGCCTTCCAGCTAGTAAATAAAAGGGGAATGCCTGAGGAAATGTCACTGCTTGGTTTACAGCCGTGAAAATTCTGACTGTTGTATCACGTGCTTGCTAACTCTCTGGGTGCTGCTCTTACTGGTGAGGGCTCTTCTGCACTGTTTTCTTCAAAATGAGCTTAAAGCCCTGTTGTGCAAGGCACTATATATGAATATGTAGGAACATGTCCCTGACATGAAGCACTAACAGTCTAAGGTGTGGTCAGCCATGCTGCTGGTGGTGGGAGAGCAGACACACACACACGCAGACTGGCATCAGAGTTAGATGACTTCAAATGCAAGGGAAGACATTGCTACAAAACCAGAACTTGGGTTTGTAGCAGCTACTTCTGCAGTGTTTGGGCCATAGCTCAGGGTATGTATTCTATAAAGGAGATGCGGCTGGAGCACAAGCTGGAGAGCAGAGCCGGCTATCCCAAAATCTCACCCCTAATCAATCCACAGGCAATTACCTCTAAGTGCCATGCTGTGTGTTCAGGAAGAGAGAGAGAATACATCCCACAACCACTTTAAAAAGGAAAATCAATTAAATCTTACCTTTTCAAAACAGTTTTGGGTTGAGGTTGTGTGTGTTTTGTTTTGTTGGGGTTTTTAGCAAGCAATGAATCAGTTTTATAATAAAATACATAAGCCTGGTGAGCTGGCAGAAGGGAATTCATTCAGAGCTCGGGGCCTGGATTTTCTACCTTGGTGCCATCACATGGGTCTGATCCTGGAAGGAGTCTGAACCTGATTCATTGTCACCAAGAAAGCAAGGAGAAATTTTTCATCCTTCACATTTTAATGAATAAATGCCATTTCCTCTCTGTTATTTATCTGCTTTTGAATTTTAATGACTTGCTTTAAGTGGTAATTACCAAATTCTCCCTACCGATGCCTGGCTGGATAATATCACTGTTCGATATTTATGAAGTGCCAGGATCCTCTAAATATAGAAATGTTATAACTATTTGTTAAAAATCTGAAAAGCTGAGAGATAAAGGGAGAGGAAATGCCACTTATTCATTAAAATTCTGCAAATGAAAAATATCTTCTCTCTATTCAGCAGTTGATTAATCTGATCCATTAATTTATGGTCATTCAAATCTCCTTGCTTTTGGCTCTGCTGGAGTTTTCATGCAACTGAAGTTTCCCTGATTTGAGCTGAGTTTTCTCTTCTTCTTTCGGAGTAATGTGAAAAGACGTTCTCCTCTCTCTATCCTTCACACCTAAACAGCTTGGATGATTTCCCAGGAGGGAAGGCGGACACAGTGACAACACAGTTTTGCAGGAGATGGTCCAATTCTCACAAGCAGCGGGGGCTCTAAACTGAAGGTTTTGAGTAGCCTCAAGCTCTTTTCTCGATAATTTTACAGTCCACCACTTGAAATCACTCTCCTCGGGACTCAAACTCCTCCATATCAAAAAGGGAAAAGAAATGTTTGAGGTGGAGGAGGGAGCTCCTTCCACCATGCCCACTTGAGTAAATGTGTGCATGCCTTTTAAAGAGTCCTATGGAAGAAAATGTCTGTAATTGTGTCTATTCGCAACCTGGAGGCTGCTCTCCTACATCCTGTGTGATGAGAGCTGTGTGAATGGACCGACCTGCAAAATCATAATGATTATTTTAGTAATTTTTTGTTGATGTTCAAGAACACAAAGATTTTTTTCCTGTTACCTGGTTCCATTTCCCTTTCAAGAAGCATTATTTCACCACATTCTCTTAAATCCTAAGCTAATTTAGCTACACACAAAATCACCCCAACAGGGAGAGGGGAGCAGCTTCCAAGAGAAGACAGCTGTGCCTGTGCTGCAGTTATTTTCTCCTCCATAGAGTCCTGCCTCTCCACGGTCCCTTGACCATGCAGACCCTCACAGGTTTTTTTTCTTTTTTTTAGTGCTGGGGCCGGGAGAACAGGGTGCTTTATTGCCATCGACATCATGCTTGACATGGCAGAGAACGAAGGCGTGGTGGATATATTTAACTGCGTGCGAGAGCTGCGATCCCAAAGGGTCAATTTGGTGCAGACGGAGGTAGGAGCCAGCAGGTCTCCTCTTATGATGTACTGCTTTTCTGTCAGCTTCACCACTCAACAGGAGCCCAGCAATTCATTAAGTCAACACTTGCTTGCTCTGCGATGTGATTATACAGAACTTTCAGTGCCTAAACATGTCCAGATGTGCACCAAATCACATTCACTGGCAGCTACTCGGGGCCTCTAAGACAGGAGGGCAAACCTTGAAGTTTAGGTCTTAGCATTGCTGATTAATTTTATTCTCATACTAGAAAAAAGCTAGCTCCTGAATCCTCTCATGACTCATTCATAGGTATACTGCAGACTCCAGTAGTACCTAGTTCATATGAATTGCAAGATAAACAAATGAAATATCCTTTATTCAAGCTTTGAGTGCTGATTAAGCAAGCTGCTCCCTCACGTAGCATCTAGCAGCTGCACAAACTTCTATGGCACTGTTATCCTGCTGCACAAGTTTTATGTATATGCTTCAATGCCTTCCCCTCCTGAGGGACAGGACAATAGCTTGGAACAGAGAAGGGCTTTTAACTTTGTTGGACTTCTCATATTTAGTTCAGGGAATGAACTTTACCTGGAATACCAAGAATCCAGGGGTTTTAAAGAGACAGATGGAGCAGACCTGTTGGTACAGTTGTTTCTCTGGTGTTATCATAGGTCCAAAGCACGGTCTATTCCTGACCATTGCCTTATGATTGTGAACAGAAAAGCATTACACTCAGCCCAGCCCCATTTTGTCCCAGTGTTCGTGAGAGTGGTGACTTCCCATTTTACTTGTAAATTTGAAAGGAATATATGAGACCTCACATTCAATGATGGATGAAATATGCTCACAAAGCTGTCACATAGCACACTGTGTAATTTGTCTCCACATGAAACAGAGCCAAATATGCATACCGGGCATGATTTAAGAAAAAAAAAAAAAGCAGCATGATATTTCATGATCTGTATTGAAAATACAATTTTAATATCTTCTCCCCTCCCCTGTGCAGGAGCAGTATGTATTTGTCCATGATGCCATTTTGGAGGCATGTCTCTGTGGCAACACGGCCATTCCAGTTTGTGAGTTCAGATCCATATATTACAACATCAGCAGACTAGATCCACAGACCAATTCCAGCCAGATAAAAGATGAGTTTCAGGTAATTTCATATATCTCAGTCATTGCAGTTGGTGTGTTGAAGGTGTTTAATCAATTTCTATGTGTTATTTTATGATTTCCAACAGAGCAGAGAAGGGGAGCACTGAGCCAAGGTCTGATTTCAGCTGATTTTTGTTGGTTTACTACTGGATCAGACAGAGATTTGTTTTTGAGCATGGACTTTTCAGCCTTCGGCAAGCAAAAAATTTCCCCATCACTTCAGTAGAGCAAGGGTACTAATTTTCACACATAATGTTGTACTTCTCATTTCAACAAATATTCTGTTGTTCATTTTCTTCCATAATTTATGCAGAAACATTTATGCCTCAAGGTCCCTTATTATCCGTTCTTGTGGCTCATATGCTGCTTCTGAGTCTTGACAATCAACTTGTTGACATCCTTCCATACAAAGGAGAAAGTGAGCTCAGTGAGCATTCCTGTCTCTATTACTAGTTTTCAATTAATTGAATCCCTCAGTTCACTGTGTCTGTTTTGCCAAGTACCTGGTGGTAAGAACTGAAATGATATGTAGTAAAACTCGCACGTGCTAGAGTAGCACAGTTTGCCTGGGGCAAGCAATGAAATGGGGACCCCTCCTTCCAACTTTTGATATCATCATTGCTTATCTCACCCTAATAAATGGGCTTGGGACACACAAGCCATGAGCCCTGTGCAGATGTACCTCTTGCACAGTAGAAAACTCACCCTGCAGAACAGTGAATGAGGCTTTCCAATCTTATTCCCCATATAGCTGTAAATCCGGTTAGGATTTTTCAGCCAACACCAATGTATAGAACAAACATAATACTGTGGGAAATTTGGGGCAAGGTGAGTTTGATGGGAAAGAGAGAGACCTCTGCTATTTGTTAAGAGGCCATTCTTCTTAGCAGTAAAAAGATGGAGATTCCTTTAATTGCAGGAAATTCCCACTTCCTTTCCCAGCAAAGTATCTTTTGCAGCAAGAGAATGTCTTTTGGGAGCCCCAGTCTGAGTCAGACGCCTCTTTTCCTCCCTCTCTATGCAAAGGGAGAAAGTGTGGTTTTTATCTGAAACCTTACAGGGAATCATCAGGGTTGGTATAGTGAGATAAAGAATGTGGATCCCAACTGATGACAGTTCAATTAAAAAAAAGATCTGGTTTTATCAAGTGATATCAGATCTTTAAAGTGTTTCTGATTCTAGATGCTTGGCACGAAGGAGCCAAAGCCTAACTTCATCAAATGCTGTTATGCTATTAAAAAAAAGTCACTGCTTGCTGGGCTTATTTTGTCATGATATGAGACAAGATTTGTCGCCTGCGTGTGCTTGTTCTTTTGAGCTGCCAGGGGCTGGCAACTCCTGTGGGAAGGAAATGTTCCACTGTACTTTGCATAAGAGGTTCATTCTCTGTCTGGTTGTAGAATCTATTTTTACAGGATTTTGGCTCAGAGCATTCTTCAGCCCTAATTGTCTGGATTTAATGCAAAAGACAGTATCTTTTGCTACAATCTTTATGGACCAGTTGATCTAACTATAGATCTGTTGGTACAATTTGTATTATTTAGGTCCAGCTGGCCCTCAGGTATGGCTGGATCTATTTCTCATGCACTACACATTGTCTGAACATGCAAAAGCTCATTCTGGAGAGTTTTTGTAATCTGAATAAGTACAAAAACAAGGGAGAGAGGGGAAGGGCATAAAATAGACAGGAGTAAATCACTAACAAGTTATCTGCCTAATTATCTGCACTGTCAGAGATCTGAGATTTCATGTTTCTTCCCCAGCCAGTCTACCTGCCTTCCATCTCTAGACAAAGGGGTTTTTATTTTAGAACCTGCATAATTTAGGGCAACTATGTTATTTCAAATTTTATATTTTGACACATTGCTTTATCTTGGATTGTTTGACCCTCCTCTTTCCTCCGTTCATAACCTCTCTGTGGCAGAAGTCAAGCTCTTTGTAAGAATTTTTGGTCCCTAAATATTTTGTGTTCCTCTGATAGCTGGCAAGGAATTCACTGTATGCCTGCATGGTCTTGGCTCTGGAAGAGGACACATAACAAGTGAAAGTAGAATGACATCAGGTAGCCACCAAGCTACCATGACTTAAGCAATAGTGTTAAGATGCATTCACTTTGATTTGCTATTTTTGATCCCTGCTGACCAACCTGGGCTGGTTTGTGAGGAGGCCTCTGCAATGGATAACACAAAAGAAAATTAGATTTAAATAGATATGGTCTGTCAAGCTGTGGGAAAGACGGGTAATGGTAAAAGACTGACAGCAATATCCCAGAGATAAGGTATGACTATGTAAGTGAAGCATCCTATGCTTCACCTAAGAGGTGAACCCAAACCTAAGAGGTTTTTGTATGCATTGTTAAGATAAATCAATAGTTTGACTGAGGAATCACTGGAAGATTTGAGCCCAGTCTGATCTGCTGGACAAGCCAGGTCAATACTCAGGGTACTTCTGCACAGGATCCACTTGAAGAGGGAAATGGATGCATGCTTCCATGGTAGGGATGGTAGAAACACGAGGAGATCTCACTTCATGACCAGGTCAAAGCCGCAACTTGTACCTGTGACAGCTATTTCCAACCTCTAGGAAAGAACAGAAATGGTATCTCACTGCTGTGGGGTTTTAGAGTTGGAAATTGTTGGAAGGTGTGTAATGCCCTCAATTTATGCTGGAGCTTACAGTGTTTGGAAGAGCACCTAAGGACGATGTGCAAAATACAGTGTATTATAACAGCAACAAGCTGCTCAGTGCTCCTTCTTTTTCATTCTCTGGGATCCCAAAGAGCGTCTTGTCTAAGTAACTTCAAAATAAATGTATTGTGCAGGTGGTATCCTTTTTGGAAGTAAATTCAAAGACACTCAGCCTGCTTTTTTCTTTCTTTCCCTTCTTCCCTCCCTCCTTCACAGACTCTCAATATTGTGACACCGCGTGTTCGGCCAGAAGATTGCAGCATAGGTCTTTTGCCAAGGAACCATGACAAGAACCGCTGCATGGATGTGTTGCCCTTGGACCGGTGCCTGCCTTTCCTCATCTCGGTGGATGGCGAGTCAAGTAACTACATCAATGCTGCACTCATGGATGTAAGCAGAACTGCACTGCCCCCACTGATCCTAGTCAGCATCAAGTTTATTAATTCTCAGGGGACTTTTCTGGAAGAAAGCGATCCAAAGCAAAAAACCTTTTTTACCTGAAGTTTCTGGGTCTGACATCTCCAAACTGAGCAAAGGCAAACAAAAATGTATCACTTAGACCATGATTAGCACACTACCATTGCAGTTCTGCCTCACATTGGTGGAAAATTTTTGACAAAGAAATTAATGAGCATGCAGTCTGAGAATTTATTTTAGGCAGATGGACAAAGAAGTGGTGGGACAACTCTTCCCATACATTGGTTGTCGTATAACTTGGAAGAGAAATGTTCCCCAGGAGCTGCCAGATCAGCTCTTTGAAAAGAATAATTTGCAGTGTGGAACAAGTGATTTATTTTTGCTTGTGCAGTTAATAATATGGGAGTACAGGGATCAGATGTGCAAAATACTTCAAGGCTGAAGGACATGAGTTAAGCTGATGTGAATCTGTCTGAAGGCATTTTCCCTTGCTTTGTTTATAGGCTAGAATCCCACAGCACAGGACATTTGTATAGGGTGAATTGTGTTGATGGTTTCTTTTTGCTGTGGTGCCTAACTGTCTTTGGACAGAAATGTCTTTAAAGCAGCTAATTACTGTGGTTGGAATATGTGTAAATGTGTGATCCAGGGTGAAATGTCATCATTTTTTCCCTAGCAATGTTGGGGTTGGTCTTTTTTAATTTTGTCTCTTCTTTCAGTCTTTGGGGAACAATGATACTACTGCATTTAAGAGGTTATGTCAAATGGTCATAGAATTAATTTTAGATTTTTTTCAGAAAGATTGTGATGTTTTCATGGTAAATATGCCTAAGGAAACTTTTTTTTTTAAAGTGCATTTTGTGCTTTTGCAGATCTGTAGAAGCACGATCAATTCATATCTGGTTTCTTGGGGACTGGGAATGTGTTTGCACATTTCAGCCCTCATTACCTCCAAGCACTTTGCTAATACTTGTATTCTTCCCCACAGATTTCCTGATAATTAAAAGGTTTTGTAGGCAAGGAATTTTTCACCTGCCATTGAAATTCAGTCATTATGATGTTCTCTAGCTCTTCTTTATCCTTCCACAGAGGAATCATAGAATGGTTTGGGTTAGAAGGAACCTTTAGACATCATCTAGTCTAACCCCCAATCAGCAGCTTTTGAGGGGAAAAAAAAAAATTCAGAGAGGGCAACAGCCAAAATCCCATATTTTCATAGGCATTCCT